TTCCGTGTTCACTTGGGGGTCTGGGGCTTCGGCCACCCCAGACAGCCTATAATTGCTAAATGACCACTTTGAAGGAGGCAATCCTTCAAACCTGCTGCCATTGTTACCCTAATTGGCTCAGGAACTATGACGGCCAGCGCCTGGGGGTAACCCTGCAGGTCTTCAGTGTCTTGAACTCAAATGGCCTGGGCTGGGCAAGATGGCAGGGATGCCACCTTTGGGCCCACTTGGGTCATGAGAATGGCATCCAAATGCCTTAGGAAAATGGTGTGGCCCGGGGACACCATGCACTGTGAAGGCAGCAGCTGCAGCAGCCAGATCAAACTCTGTCATTTAAGCACATTATTGTCACTCTGAGCAAATTCAAATACACACATCCTTTGCTCATCACTCACCATGGCATGAGTCTGAATCTCAGTAGCCACTGTTGGGGAGCCTCCGGTGAAAGCTGCACCAAAGGGAAAGCCCTGGGGCTCGAGTGGGCCAGGTGAGAAGGTTATCACACCTCTGTCTCCCCATACCCTGTAGTTTACTGACCTGCATCATGAATCACTGGTCTCACAAATATTTACCAAAATGTACACATACAGTCCTTGAGGTTCCCGATCAAGCAAAGATGTTTTTCTGAGAGTCTGAGGATCTGATAACATCTTTTCTCTTGTCCTTCTTTAGGAATGGCTGCCCGACAGGATTCAGTAGACTCAGGTGTCACCCTTTTCTACAAGGCTTCAGAATAAGATAGTACCTTTTCTTCCCAGAGAAGTCTGATAGATTGGAGAAATCTAAAAGCATCTGATTTTACACCACTTAAAAGTAATCTATCTGGTTTGCTCTCCTTGGAGAATTTTTTTTTCTCTCTTCCCATTTAGACATGTTACAATAATATGCCTTGTTAATAGTTCCTGATTAATGTTACTCAGAACAAGATGAAACCTTTCATTTCTAATCTCATTTATTTTCTCAGTCCTGAAAAGCTCCCCCCACCCTTCCCTGTATTGATTGTTTTGGTCACAGGCAAGCTGCCTTTCACCTAAGCAACAGCCCTAGAGTCAACCCTGCTGGTGTTTTTCCCTGAACCACAGTAAGACTTTACGTTTTTATCCTTGTGATACATCTTTACTTACTGAGGATGGAATTAGAAAGTAACAAAAAATTTTAAAGAAGAGTTAGAAAGACTGCAGATGGACCTATTTCTTGGTGAAAAAAAATCACAAAGAAAGATAGTGCTCTCGTATTAAAATTTTCCTACTTAACTAAAGCATAAGATTCAGGGTCATTTCTTTTTTTAAAAAAAGATTTTATTTATTCATTTGAGAGAAACCAGTGAGCAAAGCAAGAGAGAGAACATGAATGGGGGGCAGGGCAGAGGGAGAGGGAGAAGCAGACTTCCCGCTGAGCAGGGGGCCCGACACACAGGGCTCGATCCCAGAACCCTGGGATCATGACCTGAGCTGAAAGCAGGTGCTTGACTAACTGAGCCACCCAGGCGGCCCTATTTTGCATCATTTCTTATAGGTTAGTTTGTATAATTGTATATGTGTATGCTATATAAAAATTATGTATGTGTATGGGTCCATTTGTGTATATTAAACAAAGCTCTGATTTTTTTTCAAGCAATGGGGATGGCTTTCTTAACAATGTATTTATTATTCATTTAATGTGTGTTCTGAGTGGCATAAAACAGCATGAAATGAAAGAGAACGAATATAGTTTGTAAAACACAGATTACTTCATGTAAAAAATCAGAAATCCCACAGTCTCCTGGTCCAAACACCTGCCCGTGAATTTCATGAGGAAATGAGTACTGATACCCAAGGGGGCCCAGGCTGTGTGGGCTGGGGGACAGGGACAGCGGTGGCTGTGAGCAACACCCAGAGGAAGGCCCTGAAAGACATGGATCCTCACCTGAGCTGCTTTCTGAGGAGAGGTATGTATTTGCCAGGAAGCAGGCTAAGGTTGGGGTGTTGACCAGTGGCTCTCTAACTTGGGTGTGTAACAGAATCACTTGGCAGGCTTGTTAAAATACAGGTTGCTGAACCGCTGCCCAGAGTGTCTGATACAGTAGGTGGGACACGGGGCCCAGGAATCTGCATTTGTAACAAGTTCCCAGATGAGGTCGATGTAGCTGGTCAGGGACCACCCCATGAGAACCACAGAATACTGTGTAGACAGCAGCTACGTGGACCCTGAGCGCCGGCTGTGGTCTTGATGGCACCAACAGCACTCAACTCCTGCTTTAAGAACTGACAGAAAACCAGGGCTTCTAGAGAGTCGGCCCACAGCTCGCAGGACGACATGATCCACGGGCAATAAGGCATAAACATTCCCACATCTCCAGCGTGGATGCTGGATATGCCTGGGTACACAGTAAGAGGCAGGTGATCACACAGGAGGGTGGCATCCATGCTCCGATCCATCTGAAGCTCTCATAAAGACGTGCAGAGAACAGCCAGGAGCTGAACTGAAGTGAAGCCAAGGCTGGGAGTGGGCTCCGTGAACTGCTCACTCCAGCCTGTTCATAAGGAGCATGTGGAGTAGAACTCACTGGCCCCTGAGCTGGTTGGTGGTACATAGGCTTTGGTAAACGGGGCTCTGCTTCAGGGTGGAAACTGGTGAGCCCCCCGGCCCCCTTCATGGAGGGGGCCAGCCACACAGGACCATCACCACCATCACCACTGAGCCTGGCAGAGCCCCACACACAGACCTTTGCAAGGTCCAAGTCACTGCAAAGCAAATGCTTTTGCAAGTGTGGGTAGACAAACATCTTAGCGAGCCTTAGCACTGAATTCTGCTGTCACAGCTTCGGTCTTCCCCAGAACACAGCGGGCAATGGCAATCGAATCTGGGAGTCCCTCCTATCCCCAGAACCCCCCCCCACCTGTGCCCCTGGCTCCATTGGGGCAGTGCTTCACCCATCATCTGGTTCTCCCCTCTGTGGGTGATGTCTTACTTTCCATGGGTTTCCTTCTAACAGCATAGAGAGACCTCCAAATCTCTCTGCTCTTAAAAAAAAAAAAATCTTAACTCTCTCAATGCGGGGCTTCTGTCAGCTCATTTCTTTCACGGACAGATACCTGCAACAAGTTATCACAGATTCCTAACACTCACTCAGGCATGGATCTAATGGACACCTATGGAGCCATGTGCCGAGCACGGTTCTACATGCTTGGGACACAAAGGGGAGCACATCAAAGATCTGGACCCCGTAAAGCTTGCAATCTAGTGAGGGCAAGGTCGAGAAACACAATACTCATAATAAATAAGAAAATTCTATGGCATGCTAGAGGTCAGCGAGAACTTAAAAAAAAAGCAGAACAGCACAAGGAGAGAGGAGAAGGTGAGAGCAAGGTGGTGGTCTAAGTTGCAGGCCAAGTTCAACATGCTGGGTCCAGATCTTTTCCTTCCGTTAAATTCCAAATGGATGAATGACAAGTATATTCACTATAATAACATATGCACGGGCTTTTTAATTGCGGGGCTTTACAGAGAAATCCTATGCAAATTCCATCAAGGAAAGAACCCAGCCTGACATTGAGAGCAAGAGAAAGTCTTCGAAAGGGAGTGATCTGAGGAGGCAGGGAACGTCCTCACCATCCCCTTTCACAGATGGCCATTACATCATGAAGGCACGATGCCTTTCATTTCCACAAAGGGGGATCGAGGGTCGATGAAGGGCTGATGGAAGGTATAGAGCAGTGAGGGATATACGAGTGAGACAGGATGCAAAGAGCAGGCTTTGACTAGGGTAGGAGATCTGTCCTGGGTGTTGTTGCCTGGTAGAACAAAAATGAGAATGTGGTAGAGAGAGGCAAAAGAAATTCAGTGAATTTTAAATCTTACAATTGTGTCCTGAGTGGTTTCCAACAAGCCTCCTTCCCAGGGGCTCAGGTATGCAAAGGTTCAGGACAAAGGGCAGTGGACACAGAGGCCCCAGCTGGGGGTCTCCCCAGTACCCGCTCTTTGTGGTATGGACGAAGACATACTAGTTAAGTGGTTACTGTGTCTCAAGGAACCTCCCCACCCTGCTCCAACTCCTGGCTGGGGTTCATTTATCTTAACTCAACAACAAAGAGGTTGGAATGCATCAATGTGGCCAACTTGCATTTTTTCTACCCTGGAATTCATTTTTTCAAACAAAATCTCAGGCAGAACACAGCACAACTGACCCTTGGAAAACATGGGGGCTTAGGGCGCTGACCACCTGCGTGCGTGCAGCCAAAAATCCATGTGTAACTCTTGACTTTCCAGAAACTTAACTACTCCTAGCCCACTGTTGTTGACCAGAAGCCTCACCACTACCATAAACAGCCGATGAACACATACTTGGTATGTTATGTGTATTATGTACTATGTTAGGTACAGAAAAAATCTGATTAAGAAGATCATAAGGCAGAGAAAATACATTTACAATACTTTACCGTATTTATTGAAAAAGACTGCATATGAGTGAACCCGTGCAGTTCAAACCCGGGTTAAGGGTCAACCACGTACAAGTTATCTAACAGTGAGGCTGATGTGGGCTGGGGGCCCAGCAAGAGGACCATTCTGCATCTTTGTTATTCCCCTTCCCCATCCTCCTCCTTAGAAGCATTTCTAAGGAAACGAAAGGTGCCAGGGAACATGGTCCTTCTCTCTTCTAGCCTCTTAACGATTCTCTGATGTACACAAATTGTCAAAATGCATCCAGTGGAAATACTCACTAAGGAGATAACCTAATTTTAATAACAAGTTAAGGAAAGAAGAAAAACTGGATGGAAGTGAGAACCAAATTCTCCGGCTCCTGTCCAGAGTGGGTCACCAAAGCATGAAACGTGGTGAACCTTTGGAGAAGGGAAAGCCCAGGGTCCCCCTGCCTAAAGAGGGTGACAACCCACTGGCACATTCTCAAGAGCGGGGATGGGTGAATTGCTCCTGCCACTCACCAGTGAAAGAAGCTTTAAATACACATTAAGGATGACCAGGCAGCTCTGCTCACAAACATGAATGAACCATGCACAAACCTTGATTCCAAGTTCGATATTTTCTCCCCCATACACGTCCATCCCAGGGTCAAGAAGACCGATTTCACCGAAGAACTTCCTGTTGACCACGAAGGAGCAGCCAATCATGGCTGGCGTCCTGCAGGAGCGAGAAAGAAGTCAGAATCAGCTGACATATATATGATTCAGCCACGAGAAAGAGGGAAATCCTGCCATTTGCAACACCCGTGGACCTTGCAGGCATTAGGCTGAGAGAAGTCAGAGAAAGACAAATACTGTATGTTCTCACTTATATGTGGCATCTAAAAAAGCCGAATTCATAGAAACAGAGTAGAATGGTGGTTACTGGGGACTAGGGGCTGGGGCAATTGGGGAGATGCTGGTCAAAGGGTCTAAATGTGCAGTTCGAAGATGAATATGCTCTGGAGATCGCATGCACAGCATTGTGATTATTGTCAAGAATACTGCACCCCATTCTTCAAAGTTGCTAAGAGACTAGATCTTAAATGTTTTTACTACAAGGTGAAAGAAAATTATGTGATATGAAGGAGGTGTTAACTAATGCTTTGGGGGTGATCATACTGCCATATATAAACATATCAAATCAATAGATTATACCCAATGTTAGATGTCAATTATATCTCAATTTAAAAAAAAAAAAAGGAGGAACTAAAGCCATTAAGGTGACATATCAGAAACCCCTCTGCAGGCACCGTCCTGACAGGTGCTGGGTTTCACTCTGGCAAATCGAGAAACTTCCCTGAAGTTCTCATTTCCCACACTCACACTTTCCATGAAGCTCTGTTTTAGCTTCAGACAAATTAGGGTACCCAGAGCATCCAGCGGCGACCCGGCTTCTGGGTAGCTCACACAGGACGGTCTCACATGACCCATGGGGTCTGCAAGCATGAGGATGGTTCTCATGGCACATCTGGCAACAGCTATGTGACAGGATGAGCATCGCGGGGCAGTCACAGAGAAGCTCAGAGGTAAGGACCGAGAAGGGAGAAGACTCATCCAGGAGACCACTGGTGCCCAGGGAGAGACCACCTCAGCCTGCTGGGAAGAGCGCCCGGGAGGAAAGATGAAAAGTATTGGCAGGGTGGCCTGTGACCATAAAGTCTGGAAACAAAGATCTGTACTTTGTTTTTGAGTATATTAATCCCCTTGATTATTTCTTCTAGCATGGGCCACAGGCTAATGAGGGACAGCACACCAAGTCAGAGCTGAGGCCCAGGGAGATCTGGTGCCCTGAGTCACAGGGTGGGTGGGGCTCAGGACCCACCCAACCTTAAAGTCCACTCTACTCTCCAGAAAAGGCTCCAAGGAGGAGTGGGCAAATGCCTGAGCTGCCAAAGGCCAGAAATGCTGTTAAGATGCTTTCCGGAGGAAAAGAGACAGGAAGGCCAGTGAAACTCCCCTGGGGCCACCAGGAAGCTGTTCATGAGGTGGAATTCTCTCGAGCTGAACCGTAAACCCCCACGTCAGATCCTCATTTGCTCCTGATTTTGAGCTTGACTTTCACCTTAATATCCAGATTTCCGACCCCATGGAACACCTCTTGGAACCCATGTGGTAGAGCAGTGGAGGGGCACACCAGAAGAATCAGTGCTCAGCGCTGAGTGGAGTAGTTTGAACGCTGATGTTGCCACTGAGACCCACACTTGTGTGATGTTAATGGAATGCTCTGGATCCCAGTTAAGTCCCTACGGAGTATCGCTGTGCAAAGAGATGCAACGTTCACAGAGGAGGGGTTCAGTGAAGATTGTTCCTCTGCCCTCTCATTGGGAAGCCCACCCATAATGTTTTCTCCAGAAATCCCATACCAATCACAGCCCTGTACATGGGGTGTGGCTTTCCACAGGGGCCACGCGGGCCACACCAGGGAGAGGAGGTGCTTCACTTGTTGATTCTCTCCTCCCAGCCCTGCGCCCCTCAGAGACAGGCAGCTGACCCCAAACATGGAAAAGTACCGTGTGAGCCCGACCCCTGGCATCAGTTAACTGAACCAGGAATGAGCACCAAACCCAAACTGGGTCAATCAAATCATGTTTTTCCTGAGGAAAAATTTGGAGTCAGGAGGGTTCTGGAAGTGAGAACCACATGGTCTCTTTCATCCGTAGGACTCAGGGTGCCATTTTGGGACGGCTGCATTGGCCTCCGTGTGCATGTGCATGATTGTGCAGAGGAAGGAAGCAGATGCATGGTGGAGGTGTGAGGCTGTGGTGAGGGACAACCTGGTGACTTTGGCCTCCCATCAGCTGACAGGCCTGGCTCTGCCCTCTGCCCCCTGGGGTCATGCGAGAGCCCCCCCCGCCCCGAATCTCTGTGTTCTATCTCCTTGACTCAAACCGTGTGGAATAGGTTTCTGTTCTTCCCAACCAATGATGAGAACACATGCTATCTCCTCCTACTTATGATGGTGGTGGGGAGGGAGGATGTTTTATCACGCAGCCACAGGGGAGCAAACTGCAGGGAAGAGTCATTCTGGGGGAGCTAAGCGCCAGGGTCCACCCAAGTGAGAGAGAAATGCCATCAATGGGAGGTGACGGGGGTCTGCAGAGGAGGGGGGTACAGGAGGCCGCGCCAGGAACACCTCAGTTTTCTTGAGGGCAAGTGCTGAGCACATCAAAAAACTCTGGTAAGCTGGAACAACCTCCCCAAAGCCTGTGCTTAGCATCTAGAAATTCCCAACATTAACATACATGCATAATTAAGATCCTGCCCCAAGATGCTGTACTTTCTAGCCCTTCAAGGGTAAGCGAGGCTGTTGAAATCAGATGGCACTGGCACTTAACACACACCGTCGAAGGGGTGGCTTGGGATAAAAGGATGTTTCTCAGAGATTGGCTCGGGGACCCACCTGCACCAGCATCACCAGGATGGTTTTTAGAAAATGCAGACTTGTGAGTGCGGCCCAGAATTGTGCAACCAGGTTTCCAGAGACGGGACTCAGGGACTTGGATCTGTAGCGGCAGACCCATCCCGTGGAGCCATCTGCTCCTCCATCGGTCAGGTGCCCGGAGGCAGAGAAGTTAGCCCCCTGGTTTCTTATTCCCAGGAGCAGAGCAGGCACCGGCTGGCTACTGGTGAACAAATGAATGATTATAACACAGCTGGGTGGTCGCCCCTGGTGGGGAAGGGCTCCGTGATGTCTCAGGGGCACAATGGCTGAACTGGCCCAGACCCCAAGGACAGCAGGGAGGCACGCTGTAGCTCGGGCTGACCAGGAGGGGCGTGAAATGGAAGAGAAGATGAGGAGCAGAGATGGAGGGAGGAGGAGGAAGTGGGGGAGGGGTGAAGAGGAGGGAGGGTGGGCTTTGAAGCACAAAGCTTTCACTGTCAAGGAGGGTAGACAGGCTGCTTGTTCCTTCCAGATCCCTCTCGGATTGCCCTTTGGGAAACATCCTTCCCTGTCAAGCAGCGTGATATTTTAGTATAACTGGCTTCATCTGGGTGATTTTTTTGCCTGCGGGTGGCGGGGAGAGAAGAATTCACAGGAGCTGCCCTGGGTCCCCTCTCTGCTGGTCACAGCTCTGTTCCGCAGATTCAACTCGGTTCCCTACCAGGAGCCCTAGGATTCCTCACGACAGAACGGAGAAGTCCCCAGGGGCCTCCTCGTTGGAACCAGGCCTCAGCAGCTGAAAGCAGGCCCTGGTGTGCCTCCTGGGCTGGCCATCAGAAGCTGAAGGTGAAGGGCAGAGAGGGGGGGCTGGCCCTAATGAAATGCAGACCTGGGACAAACCATTGACCATTATTGCTGGTGGTGGCCTGCCAAAAGGTACTCTAAAGGCCACGGGGAAAACGTGCCACAGTGTCAAGAAGAGGGAAGGCACCGTTCCATGTCTCGGGAGGTGGTACCTGAGAAAGAGAGGCTGGCACCAGCCTGGACATCAGCCCCTAGGAGGTGGCCTCCCTGCTAAGCCCAGAACCCGCCCCCCCCCGCATGTGCAAGAGCAGGGCTCTGCGGCGCAAGGCTCCTGGCAGCTGGCTCGCATAGAGCTGGGAAACATGGAGACTGAAGAATTAAGACACCTGTCCCCATCCCCGGCTAGGCCAGCCAGCATTTCTGGTGAGGTCGGTGGGACAACTGCTTTGCATTCTGGAACTATCCAACTGCACTGATGGTGAGTAGCTGCCTCTCTGCACAGAGAGGAGCAGATGTCCACCACCACACCATCTCCGGGCCCTGCCTGGGAGCTGCCGCACCGGGGGTGGGGGTGGGGGCAGGGTTGGCCAGACCCGTCCTTAGCCAAGCTTTGCCCCCCCTTCCCCTCTGGTCTCCCTGCCACCTGCCCAGCCAACGGCGCCTTGGGGCTGACGAGATCCTGGAACGGGAGCCTACAGCCTCGTTCCTCAAACTCAACTGTGGTTACCATTAGTGCAAACATTTCAATTCAAAATCATTCAAAAACGATAATCATATTAAGGGATCTGCCAAAGTCTAATAGCTCTATTACAGAGGAGAAGAACAGAAATTAAAAATAATCACTTTTATTGTTGCTGTGGTGCAGAATATATGCAACACGCACAACAGCTCCAGCTGGGAGGGAGATGGGGAGGATTTCCACCACATGCAAAAACCTTCTCCGTGTCCATGCTTCTTCTCCTTGTAAGTGCCAAAGGGCCCATCTGGGGTCTAGGTCTTCCCTCCACCCCAAAACCCTTTATTGCCTCCCTATTCTCTCCTCAGTTAAGGACAGGCTCTTCTTCAGCTGCCCTGTCCTCCTCAGTACCTTCCCAGCCGTTTGCCCCACAGATGCCATGGCGTGGCTACTCTGGGCTAGTCATCGTTCAGAAAGCCTGTCCCAATTTATGCCTGTCCCCCTTCTTCCGAAACGTCTTCCCCGAGACCGCCTCCATCTATGCAAATCCTACCCACCCTTCAAAACACATTTCTATCTGAAAAAAAATAATTTTTATGGTACAAAAAACTAATACCTACCTTATAGAAAATATACCTCGACAAAAATAAGAACACAAATTTCATTGCTTTGTGACTGAGAGCGCTCAAGTCCCGTTACCATCCCCCATCTTGCCGGCTCACCTCCTTGAGCCCGGCGGGCCCACAGTCTTTCTCCCCGCTGGGACCTCCGATCCACTGGCCCTGCGGACCCCTTTCCTACCCAGCCTAAAGCC